CCTCGAATTAGCAATTTACCCACAAAAAACTTTCACGGGCCCGCGCTTTGGAACCACGCATATCCGGGACTGGGTCGGAATTCACTAAAACCTGCGTGCAGCATTTCATTAAAATTCCAGTATTCTAGGTTTTCCAGTTCCCGAGTTAACAACTTACCTGTTAAAAAATTTCACGGGCTCGTTCCTGGGCACCACGCGGCTAAGAGCCTCCATTTTAGGGACGGAGAGCCGTACATAAGTGAAGATTAAGTTCCTGAAGATTAAGTTCCTGAAGGGCTGCCCCACGGCGGATGGCGGCAGTATGAATGTGGGGGATGGAAGTGGGGATAGAATGTGGCGGGTATTGTTCGAAGCAGGGGAGGGGGGCTAGGATAGGTGGTATAGGCACTAAATGGCGTAGATCCTTTGCCGACTGACTAAATAACGTACATTTGAGGGGAGAGGGGGGCAGTGAAGAACGGTGAGGATGAGGAAGTATGCTCCTGGGACTTCCCTTTTTATGAAATTGATGCTTAGGTAAAGCTGTTCCACAAAAACCGCCATTAGGCTTCTTTATTTATGAAATTGACGTTTGTATAAAGTTCTTCCACAAAAACCCGTCATCAGGCTTTACTATTTATGAAACTGATGTTTAGGTAAAGCTGAGAGCGAATAAGTTTCATGAAGTGAGCAAAAACAGAGTAGAATTGTTGCTTGGGAATGAAATCAGCCTTTGTTCCTGTGAGGTTTTGAAGACAAAAAAACAAAGGTATAACTGTTGTGCACAGTTGCAGGCTGCAAGAGGCAAACTTTGGGACTGTCTGCAATTCTTGTGTAATCCAATCTGGTTTTACCAAAGCATAAGCTTCAGTAAATTGTGTCGAAATTATTTGCCCCCTGCTTAACCTAAGCATAAGCTTCAGTAAAGCCTGTCAACTTCATTCTTCCTCATTATTCTGGCCTCAATCATGCCCTCTGAGCTGTATCTAGGCAACTACCAACCAACACCTTCCAACCATGTCCAGTTCTCCCACCTCTCACCCTCCCTCCCCCCTCCCAGGTGCGGGATTCAGCTGCCAGACAATGGGCAGCGCTACCCAGCGCGTCTGGCAATAACTTCGAGCGGCGCCGTAAAAAGTGTTGGTAGAGACGAAAGAGCAAAGCGCTGAAGCACCACTAAAGCACAACAGATCATAAGCCGAGCCGAGCTTTTGTAACTGCCAAAAAGCGTGCAACAAACGAAAAGGATGATGCAAAGGCAGACCTCTTTTGGATAAGGTGGTTTCTTGCCGGCTTCG